ATGAAATCAAGGGGACAACAAAGGTGGGATCTGGAGAAAAAAAAGAGAAATTTAGGAAAAGGCGCACACCGAGTCACTCCGACCTCATTCGCGTTAATGAAATAAAATTCCATCTGTAATGTCGGAATAAGATTTTAGTATTGTTCAGACATAATAATTTTGTACCTTCTATTTTTATAAACAGACAATACCCTTTTCTAAAATTGACAACGGAAATGGGGAATGTGTCAAAGAGACAACAACCCAACCATAGAACAGACAACAGCAGAAGGTCACCAATAGGTCACCATTAGGTCTTCAATGCAGCGAGAAACTCCCGCACCCGGAGGCGTCCTTCAGCTTGCCCCTACACAAATATATATATACTAGTTCAGTGATAATAGACGTCATACTAAACAAATTAAACACAAAAAAACTAAAATTAAAAATAATACAAGACTAATAAAGGCCAGAGGCTCCTGACTTGGGACAGGCGCAAACATGTGGTGGGGTTAAACATGTTTTTTGAGATCTCAACCCTCCCTCTATACCTCTAGCCAATGTAGAAAAGTAAACGCATAACAATACGCACAGTAACATTCAGTTCAAGAGAAGTCCGAGTCCGATGTCAGAAGAGGTAATAAAAGAAAATAAACAAAATGGCAATAATACATAAATAACAACAGACTACTAGCAGTTACTGACATGCCAGCTCCAGACCTCAATTAAACTGATTGAAAGATTATGTCTTCATCATAGGAATATCAGGCCACTCCCGGTAAAGGTTCAGTATTGTACAATCATAAAATATTTAAGAGAAGAACATAACCCGTGTCATGCCAACAACTGGTTTTTAAATAAATGTGTTTAATTCCGATGTAAAGACCCTTTAAGTGAATCAATATTAAAGCCAAAATATGCAATCTTTAATGACCTGACAACAGTATCGTAACTAAATCCCTTCTTAATAAGTCTGTTTAAAGGTTTTGTTATCTTCTAATGTTCTTTGTTGTCTTTTGTTGATGTGGTTCATAAGTGTTTCTCGTTCTGTATATAGATTAGACCGTTGTTTTTCCCGTTTGAATAGTTTTACACTAGTCATTTTGGGGACACTGTATAGCTTACTGTTCGGTGTGAACCAAGACTCTGTGTTGAAGACCGTACTTTGACCTATAATGGTTTTTATTTTAAAAATTGTGACTTAGAAGGCGAGCTGTCTCATTGGCACTCATACCACATCTTCTTATATCTAGAGAAACGTAAACTAGCTTCACATTTGAAGTTCATTTTTAACTGAAATGCCACCTCACATTCATTCCAAATAATAGAAAATCTGTCTCAAAATGAACAAAGTAATCAGCAATATCAGTGTTGACAACATCAAACCTATTATGACTATACATTTACCAAATAAACCATACTATAAAAATAAAAGACCACAGGAACAGTTATACACCTAATTCTTCAAAACTTGTCTCCTAAAGACAGTCGTATCTAATTCCACCAAGCACTGACTCAAATGTCTGCTTCATTCCTGATTAGTTTTCCCAAAATAATGTATTTCAGTTAAAAACAGAAAAATTGCTGTAAAATTCAACATCCAACTCGCGGGACCAAAATGTAGCATGAGTAATTTTGATTGAGATTCGGAGATGTGGACCACAGCTTGTTCTAGTTGTAAACAGAGACGATGGATGCCAAATGTTAAAGCACTCTTGGTATCTAAATAGCTAAGTAAATAAAAACCAAAAACAGTGAAAATTATATCATTTTATCTAGTTAAGAAATGGAGCATTCAATGACTTCCAAAATAAGCCGTATTTAGATGGAATATGCCATATTCATCAACCTTATACAGGGAGACTGGGAAATGCACAGCTTTCCTATGTGTTGTTTTTATCTTTACACCTTTTCTAGGTTGTCACCGAGGTTATCACCAAACCCGTAGCCAGTGCATGAAAGTACGAAATTTTATGTTAATATCCTTTTTCAATATTTTTCTATTTACTTTACATTCAGGTCAACTCTCTCGGCTTCGAGAAAAACTATTTACTCGTTGAGGGCTTAGGGCACATAGGGATTGCTTTCAACTATGCATAATCCTTTGGATAGCCACAAACAAATACGTGTTTTTAAGAGCAGACATATTTATGCTTTGATGTACACACAGGCAAATTTTATATTCAATGTACATTAACTTTTAAAAGAAGTTTACAAATGTTTTGCAACGATGCAAATACTAAACTTGAGAGTAAAAATAAATATCTTTATCAATGAATTCAAAATACCAATATCTATTTGATATAACAGATATATAGAGAATATTAAGTTAACCTGAATGTAAATAACAAAATAGGGAAATATAAAATTCATGGTTTCAAACAAGGGAAATAACAATTGCATAATAACCCTGCGCCACATCAAATAATTTTGCTGGTGCGTTGTTGTTCTATCTTTTCGGGGGTAAGGTAATAAATGTATATATACGGGTTCACACATACACACATGTGTATTATATTTAAAGCATAAAAACAAAACTTTTAAAGTGTTAACAATGAATGAAAAAATAATATTTTTTTCAATATCTTTGATAAATTTGAAAAATGAAAAATGCTCCTCTTTGGAGCATTTTTCATTTTGTCAAACGATTACAAAAATTGAAAAATGCTCCACACAAAAACATTTTCATTTTTGAGAAAATTTTCTAAAGTCGAAAATTCAACCAATACGGGACATTTTTCATTTTTCAATATTTAAAGGCATATAAGAAAAAATATTTAGGTGTATTTGAATTATATGATCTGTTAGCATGGTTAGTAATGTTAATTTTGTGTATTAATTAATTTATTATCTAAATTCTGTATATTTATTTTACTTACATATACATGTACATTGCAATATTTATATAATCTGGCACGATGTATGTACATTACAAGAACACAGCACAACTGTATTTGATTACAGTATGAGTATCAATCTTTCAAATTATAACTGTCTTACCTGAATAATAATGTAGATGATGCTAATATACAATCTATTCCAATATTGATAAAAATAATCGTAAACACATGGAAATTGATCATAGGTTATAAACTATCCCCATCTCTGATGAGCTATGAACTTCCGATAATAACGCCAGATAATATAAATACTTTATTATAATATAATAGCATTATTTATCTATTGAAGTTATATTAGTATTTTTGTAAACGACTAACAATATGCAGTTTATCTACCTGAAGAATCCCTGAACTTCTGGTACTGATAAGACAGGGACCTTAACAGAGATAGCTATGTCAGCGGAGTAATTATTAACAGCGTGTGCAATACTGTTGTTGAATATAAAAAAAGTCAACTCGGACCGTCTATAATTACAACTCAGACACAGTATTAAAAGTGGATTTAAACTATTTAGATGATTATGAAAGTGAGGCGAAAGATACCAAAAGCACATTTAAATAATGAGTTTTTAAACTCACAAATTATTAAATAACATTTTTAACATGACAATGTCATTTACATGTTGCTGAATTTCAAAAACATAATAAAAAAATGTGTTTAATGTGAAATCACATTTCTACTTATCTTTATCAATCTATTAAAAAACTTAATTAAAGCAAAAAAGTCTATGTTGAATTTGTTTTATTTACTTGTTGAATTCTTTATTTATTATTTTAAAGTCAACTCGGACCGTCTATATTATGTGATTGACATACATCATATTTAAAAAATCTTCCAACTATTATTACCGTATTATGTAAATGACATATCTGTTACTTAGGGTTCATTTGGACCATTTGGCTGAAATGTCTGCATTTTCACCTCAAAATTTACTCTGAGTACAGACAGACCTGTGTATCTGGAAAAGTTTTAAGGCATAGCATGCCCTAGATAAATAAAATTCAAATATATTTCATGTTTTAGAAAATTAAAAACTTAACATGATTTTGTAGTGCACTTTATTTCATTCCTCCAGAAGGTGCCAAAATAAACTAAGCTGTGAAAGAGGTTTGAGAACTTCCCCACAGGTAATAATTGAAGTGAACTGTATTGATTGACATGGACAATAGATAGACAATAGATGCCTGACAATAATTAGTGATTTAAACCGTGTACCAGAGTGGACCATATCTTCTGCAGGGACGAAAAGAAGTGCACTGCAAAATCCAGTTAAGTTTTAAATTTTCTAAAAAATATAATGCATTTGAATGTTATTTATCTAGGACATGCTATGCCTTAAAACTTTTCCAGATGCACAGTTTTGCTTGTACTTAGAGTAAATTTTGAGGTGAAGACTCAGCCATTTTAGCCAAAGGGTCCACATGAACCTTAAAAAATATAGGGAGCTTCATTCAATCTTCAACAATAGACAGATGCATGTAAATACAAATTGTCTAGAGTCCATAAGTTGTGATCTTGAATTGTCTATATAGGAGTCTCTTCATAGATAGTCTGAGTTGTCTCCTTCGTCATTTTTATAGTCACAATTGGAATAAAAACTCTTTATTTATTTTTTGCATTATAGACGGTATGACTTCCCTTCAGACACAGTCTTTTTCATTAAATCATTTATATGGTAAAAACTCTAATTTTTTTAATTAATCTGAGTTGGCATTATAAACGACCCGTGTTGACTTATATACGGTCCGAGTTGTCTCCGGGGCTAGTAGTCTCACACCAACTAATTTATACTACTTAGTATTCTTAGTATTCAAATGCATCACACCAGATGCCATATACTAATTAAACAAGAGGAACATTTCAATACATTCTACTTTAAGCTAAATTAAGATTTAGAAAAAAAACATTAATAAAAGTTGCACTGATGCGAAACACATGCCAACTTAGTTTAAATATGTATTGACGTAATACACCATAGCTTTAAATAACAGATCTTAAGGTCGTCGATAGTTTTTTAATACCTGTATACCGTAATAGGCCCGCCCAAGTACACATTTGTAAGCGTATTTTTGATTGGTCCAATCCGTCACTTACATGTATGGCTGTCAAGATATCATGACTATTATAAATAAACGCATAAGTCGACGCATCAAAAACCGTTGTATCCACATAATGCACAATAATCGACATTATCAAACAATGTCTAAGATTGAAAGGTAAGTTATATTTTAAAAACATTTACATCTAAAATCCTTTATACAATTGATTGCATTTAAATAATTCACGTTTACTCGTAAATATCTTTAATATCTAAATGGGCATTTATTTTGTTTCATTATGATCATATTTTGTTACGGAAATATCATTTCTAATAAGGGACTTTCCGTTTTGAATTTTCCTTGGAGTTCGGTATTTTTGTTATTTTACTTTTTTCTGACTACTAATTTCAAGAATTTCTTTCATATAATCAAAATGAAAGTATAATTAAAAGCAATTTGTATATGTATATGCATCGAAATAAGACATCGATTATCATCGGTGGTGAAACCTGATTGAGTGTATGTTATCGCTACATTTTGTGAAATTCAATTATGGAACTCAAAACATTTAATATCAACATCTTTACAAATTTCATTTAGATTGCCTAACAATGTAATTATATCACATTATTTAGCATGTAAACGTTTTAAATATTTATAATACGATAAAAAAAAAACGCAATATTTTGCGAGACAAACTAATGCAGTTATACCTTTGTAGCACAATGCAGAATGTTTGGTAATGTGCAAGTTGTATCCATTGCCGATCAGCTCTTGTTTGGCTATCGTAAAACTAAAAAAATCTAAACATACATTCACAACAATATTATTTGATCATATACGTCTTTATATGTTAACAATTTTTTAGCAGGTGTTTTACAATCCAAACTTTTCTGATTGGGTTCCATTAATATATCCTCCAGAACTAGAAATTAAAGAAACAACAGACACGGCCCCCTCTGCCTCATTTTTAGACTTATATGCCGAATTTGACATAAGCATTTCCCCCACATTAGTAGCAATATACCAACTTCACCTGCATATGGAATTTACTTTTCCCAATTCATTCGGTGCCCCTTTTTTGTCTTTGTAAATTATTGCTTTTACTGTATTCTTATCTTTCGTTTTTGCTAATGTGCTTTGTCTATATGCCTTTTTGTTTTTCTTTGTTGACACATTTGTTTGTTTTTATAATGATTAAGATTATAACACAATGTTGACTGCTGTACCCCTATTTTTGACATTTTTACCTATTATGTCTGTTTGTTTTGTTCACACATTGTTGTCAATAAAATAGAATTTTATGCGACTGTCATACAAGTGAGATGTTTAGGTAGCTATTAAACTAGGTTTAATCCACCGTTTTCCACACAAGAAAATGCCTGTACCAATTCAGGAATATGACAGTTGTTATCCATTCGTTTAAAGAGTTTGAGCTTTTGATTTTGCCATTTGATTAGGGACTTTCCGTTTTAAATTTTCCTCGGAGTTCGGTAGTTTTGTTATTTTACTTTTTTCATCTAATAAATTAGGGTTCAGAAGGACTATCAACACAATTGATATATATTCCCTCTTCAATTAATATTATTTTTATTATTATTATAATTATTATTATCATTATTATTATTATTATTATTATTATTATTATTATTATTAATATTATTTTTTTTATTATTATAATTATTATTATTATTATTATTATTATTATTATTATTATTAATATTATTTTTGTTATTATTATAATTATTATTATTATCATTATTATTATTATTATTATTATTATTATTATTATTATTAGTAATATTATTTTTGTTATTATTATAATTATTATTATTATTATTATTATTATTATTATTATTATTATTATCATTATCATTATTATTATTTTTTTTTATTATTTTAATATTATTATTATGATAATAATAATTATTATTATTTTTGTTATTATTATAATTACTATTATTATTATTATTATTATTATTATTAATTTTTTTTAATTATTTTTATTATTATTATTATGATAATAATAATAATTATTATTATTATTATTATTATTATTGTTATTATTATTATTATTATTATTATTATTATTATCGTTAGAGGTTGAGTAATCAGCTTACCAGTACGTTTCAAATAATTAATTGTTTGAGTTGTAGAAAAATATTATTATTATTATCATTATTATTATTTTTTTTTATTATTTTTAATATTATTATTATGTTTCCAATAATTAATTGTTTGAGTTGTAGAAAAATATTATTATTATTATCATTATTATTATTTTTTTTTATTATTTTTAATATTATTATTATAATAATAATAATTATTATTATTTTTGTTATTATTATAATTACTATTATTATTATTATTATTATTATTAATTTTTTTTAATTATTTTTATTATTATTATTATGATAATAATAATTATTATTATTATTATTATTATTATTATTATTATTATTATTATTATTATTGTTATTATTATTATTATTATTATTATTATTATCGTTAGAGGTTGAGTAATCAGCTTACCAGTACGTTTCAAATAATTAATTGTTTGAGTTGTAGAAAAATATTATTATTATTATCATTATTATTATTTTTTTTTATTATTTTTAATATTATTATTATGTTTCCAATAATTAATTGTTTGAGTTGTAGAAAAATATTATTATTATTATCATTATTATTATTTTTTTTTATTATTTTTAATATTATTATTATAATAATAATAATTATTATTATTTTTGTTATTATTATAATTACTATTATTATTATTATTATCAATTTTTTTTTATTATTTTTATTATTATTATTATTATTATTATTATTATTGTTATTATTATTATTATTATTATTATTATTATTATTATCGTTAGAGGTTGAGTAATCAGCTTACCAGTACGTTTCAAATAATTAATTGTTTGAGTTGTAGAAAAATAGAAATTTGCAAATCATTTAAATCAATTATTGTCTCTGGCCGCCGTTTTAAAGGACTTTTGGTACAATTCTATTATATGCTATGATTCGGTTATTCGTGTATTTATATGAACTTGATCAAATTTCAAATGTGATTTCATTGAAAAACATACTGGCTGCATTGCTGCTACTTGTGCTAGCAAGTTAAAAAGAAATAGCAAATCTCTTGATATGACCTCCAGAATGTCATTCTTGCAACAATTGTAATTGATCGCCCAAAAATAATTTACGAGAGTAAATCCTAAATTTTAACCAACGAATATCAATAATAACTTCGCTACCTGATCCAAACTTAATCAATTTATCCTCTATATACTTTTTTTCTGTTTTCATGAAAATATATTGCTATGTTATCTAACAGAAAAAGATGCAAATTCGATTTCATTTCGGGTTTAAATTAATTTATCTAGCATTATTGCCGCTATGTATGTCACCAAATCATTTCAATGCGATAATTCTTTATTTCGGATTTCTCAATCATCTTTGCAATAGGGCTTTCAAAAAATCGTTTTTTTCAGATTCAGGAAAGAGGAACTTCGAAAATTTACCAACTGAAAATAAAAATGGTCATATTTATTTTACTTTATAAACGCAATTTATATAATTATAATTTTTTCATAAAACGCCTTCTCAAAGTCATTTCTGATAAATGCAGTTTTTAAAAAAAATCGCTTTTTTTTCAGATTCAGAAAAGAGGAACTTCGAAAATTTACCAACTCAAATTAAAAATGTGTTCATAAATATTTACTTTATAAACGCAATTTATATAGTTATCATGTTTTCATAAAACGCCTTCTCAAAGACATTTCTGGTGAATGTCCTTTTTCAAAAGTTCGGTTTTTTCAGATTCAGAAAAGAGGAACCTCGAAAATTTACCAACCGAAATCATAAATGTAGTCAAATTTTTTTTTACTTATATAGACGCAATTTATATAGTTATCATGTTTTCATAAAACGCCTTCTCAAGGACATTTTTGATAAATGTACTTTAGATAATCCATAGAATCACTATTACATGGAATATGAATTTAGCTCAGTAATTATTGTCTATTTTTGCAAATATATCTTACCTTAAACGGAATTTATATCTATAACAACACCGCCCGAAAAATCTTTAGCGCCAAAGAGCACATGGTCAACAGCAATATGTACAGTAACATTTACAAACAAATGTACAGCAACTTTCGGCAGTCGAGGGATGTTGTTCTTAGGTCAGCTTTATATAAGTTGTCACATACAGAAACTCTGGGATTCATTTGTCTTTTGGAAAAAATAAAATAGTAAAATGCACTCTTGATGAAATCCCAAAATTGCTGTTCATCATAATTTAAGTTAAGTACATTATATAATTTCAGAAAACCGGATTTGACATTGGTTTTTATTGGATTTCAAGGAAGTGGGAAAAGTGCTACTGGCAATTCCGTTTTGGGACGTAAATGCTTCCATTCAGGCTTTGGAACGATTGGTACAACAAAACAGGTTCAAATGGAAGAAACGTATTTTGGCGACAAACGTGTTTCTATCGTTGATACGCCACCTCTTTCGTCAACGGAAACATTTACTGCTATAAACAATGCTTTTTCGAAGCACCAACAAACCACAGCAGTTTATGCAATTGTTATTGCAATTGGAAGATTTACTCCAGATGAAAAAGCTGGTGTTGGAAACATCCTTTCAAAATTTGGAAGCATTTTGAATGGTAGAACGCTGTTATTGTTTACTCGAAAGAATGAACTTGAAGCATTTGGATCGGATGAGAAGAATAATCTTAAATCATGGTTGGAGAGTACACCAACAATTCAACGGTGGATAAATAATAACAACATACCTTACTTTGCAATAGAGAACGAATCCATGGAACATGATTGTGGAATAGATGAGATGATGAAAACGGCAGTAAACATGAATAATCCGGAAAAAAATGTAAGTGGGCCTAACGGTCAACAAAACGGATGGTTTAATATCGTTCCAATGCTTTGGGGATTCATTACGTCTTTCTATGAGTACTTTTTAGACAGAAACGAGACAAACATTTAATATATCGTATTAAATTAATAATACAGTGAATACAAACCATTCAAGAAAGCTTGGTGACCTTGATTTAGTAAAAAAATATGTTTGAATTTGGCAAATCATTGAGAAAACATTTATTCAACGTTTAAATATTAGACCAGAAAATATATTTTATTTTGACAACAACAATCATAAACAAGGACTTTCAATATTATTGTGAATTAAGCAATTTTAGAACTATGACCTTTTCGCAAATCATGAATATAAACCCATATGTCTGTACAGTAATCTATTTTTATGGCAAGTCTTTTTTATTTTTATTTTCCAGTGTTGTTGGATCCTGTGATCGCATAATGGATAATGATTAAAACAGACTAAATGGAATAAACAAAGTTTTTCTTAAAGTTATATCTACATGACATAAAGTTTTAATGAAATAATGATTTATTTATTTTACCTTAGTTTAATTGAAATAAATGTTGAATATAACAACAGTTGCATGTAAGAAATTTTGTAAGTTCATTATCAAGCACATCATCAACAAAGAAGTTGATAAATTTAAGATAAGTTGGAACTTCCTTCAAATAATATGTTACTTAGTTACGCAGTCGAGTCTTTCAACATGTTTATAGTTTTGAATCTTATTTTGCAATAGTCATAATGAATTATTGTTAAAAAAATATATGAACGGACCTTTTTTTATTGAAATGTTGAGAGAAACGTGTCACTTCTAAGAAACATTTATTTAAAGGAGGAACAAAACTAACACTTTTTAATATTCTAGAAAACAAACCCAATGCAAAAGCCCTTTCATGAAAAAAAAAAGAGAAAGTATTTTTTTTGATTTTCAAAATTCAGTATCATTATTGCCACTACGTTTTGTGTAAAACACACATCTATGATTTTCCTTTTACTATTTATTGTTCCTTTCTATTAGAAACATTGAATAAATGTTCAGTATCATTTTTCGGGGTCATAGTTTAAACAATATAACGATTTTTAGATATGAATAGAGATAATGATATTTCTTTCCTATCATTAATAATAAAAAAAAAAAAAACTTCCGTGTAGTCGGGATCTTTGATCACTATTTTTTTGTAGAATTTTTTATCTTTGTATTTTGCATGATTCTTGAATGACCTTTTTTTTTCTTCGTTGTGAATTGCTGTCACACCTGCATATTTCTGATTATAATTTTTTTTTTCTGTATTATTATATTATAACTTCTATACGATGATTCTGGTAGTTGTTTACAGTCTAAAAGATATTTTCTGACAATTTCTCTGTCGATAAATGTGTAATACAAGGGAAACTATTATAATATCATGTTTATTGTTTTGTAAGTAATTTGACTTGGGATGTAAAAGAACTTTATGTCTGTTTGTTTGAATTACATAATTTCTTTTATTTGTTATGATGAATGCAATGATACTTTTTTTTGTTTTTATAGACTGTTGAATTCGCTTCATAAATAATGTAAATACAAGTTAAAGGAAGGATATATAAAATGATTGTATTGTAGCGAATGGAATAAAGCTTTTGATCAATGTCTTTGGCTTGGTGTTAAGTTACGAAATGCGAATTTAAATGAAACGAGTAAGTAGTTTCAATAAAGAATGTTATTCAATGTTGTACGTGAACAGCAACCATGTATTTGTAAAGGAAAAACACTATTGTATTGTCTGCAAAAAGGCAGATGCGGTACTAATGCAAATGAGACAACAATTCACCAGCAACAACGTAACAAAAGACGTGCATGTAAAAAATCTTATGTTTCATTACAGCCTTCAACAATGATCAAAACACACACTGTATAGTAAGCTATAAAAGGACCCCCGACATGACAAATTTAAAATAATTCAAACGAAAATAGCAACGGCCTGTCGATGTTTATAATCCACATGTATTATTGTATGGAAGCAAAATATTGGAGTTTTCATAATGCCTCTGATAATGAAAAACTACTTAATGTCCTTAAAGTCTTTGAGAATATGTTAATTTGCATTGCTATACGACGTGTCTCGGTATTTTGTACATCCAACATTCATGTATTTATTATTGAAGTTTTTGTTATGGTTTCGGTTGAATAATGTTTTATGTCTTATCGTTTGTTGTCCAAATAATTATAAAATTGCCTTTCAATACCATGATTGTCATATTCCAGAATATGACTGTTATACCGAGTGTGAATTTGCATTTCTATACGACGTGACTCGGTATTTTGTACATCCAACATTCATGTATTTATTTTTGATGTTTGATGGTTTCGGTTAGATAATGTGTTATGTCTTATCGTCTGTAATCCAAATAATTACAAAATTGCCTTTCAATACCATCATTGTCATGAAAATTGTTTGGACGAGTATTGTGAAAATAATTGTATAAAGTTCGAGATTGCATGTTAGTTACGTTAAATGGTGTTTGTCGTTGATGGAATATGTTCATTGTTGTTCTGCGGTGTGCATGTTGTGTCGACTATCATATTATTTGTTTGTGCGTTTCTCTGTGATGAATGTTCTTGCGTGTGTTTGTGCTGTATTTATGTCACGTAGTGATGTCATTTTAGCGATATTTTTTAACATTGTCATAAAGCGGGAGGTTTGGCTAGCCATTTAACCAGGTTCAACCCACCATTTTTTTTCTTAAAATGTTCTGTACCAAGTCAGGAATATGGCAGTTGTTATCAAATAGTTCGTTTCTATGTATGTTGGCGATTGTTTTTGTTACAGTGTTCCTGTTGTTTCTTTGTTTTCCTCTTATAGTTGATGTATTTCCCTCGGTTTTAGTTTGTAACCCGGATTTGTTTTCCCTCAATTGATTTATGACTTTTGAACACCAGTATACTACTGTTGCCTTTATAGAGCAATTTTATACATTGGGTTTAGAAGATTTCTTTTATTGTTATGTCGTAAATTTAAGATAATAAAATTTTCGATTTTTCTATTGCAGACAAGTTACTGTATTCTTATGGCTATATACAATGAAATGATTGATAATTGTAACGAACAGAATAAGTCTCATAGTTCAAAAGTGATACATGTTTGCTATATTATTTAGGTTTTGACGGTTTTTGGTTTTTGTGAAGATGCATTTCAAACTTTCTAAACAAAAGCTTTTTGTTCATTTTCGCCAGAAAAAAAACAAAACGTTTCCGAATCGTCACAGAAATGAGTTACTAATAAACATTTGATCGATGATTTTCAGTTTCTGCTTGATTAGCATGGCATCTGATGCATGTACAGCTAAGACGCTTACCCTATCGACAACTCAATCACTATCTCTTGCCGTGAAGTTCAGTTTTTGTTTGATACCTTTTTTGTAGTTCGTGCGATTTCCTCAGGTTGTGTTTGATATTTTGAACTGTTTTCTTAATCGATTTACAGTATTTGAACATCGGTAAACTATTGTCTCAGTATATTTGACAAAGGGCTTATATGATTTAACGAAGAAACGTTTACTAAATTATGTCATAGATACACATATTTGATACGATCCATGATTTTAAATAATGTTTTTATAGTTATTGAATTTGTTTTGATAAATTGAAACATAACTAAACATGTATTACAATACAGTTATTAAAACTGATGGTCCTCCTACATACTATCAATGTTATGGATTAAGCACCTATATTTTTGCATTGCGCGATGTTTCTTAGACTGGTTATTTCGTCTTTTCACGACATCCGTTGTGTGCGTAATAATGAATGCCTTAGTCTGGGAAATCTTGCTTTATATATTAGTTACATTAAATATATGGCGGCCAAAAATCAGGAGCCTTTAATTAAAAGGTAGTCGGTTGCTGTCTGTCTTATTTGATTTTTTTAGTTTATTGTTTTGTCATAAATCTGGGCGTTTGTTGTTTTTTTTTAGTTTGATTTTTTTACATTGCTTCATGTCGGAGCCTTATATAGCCGATTTTACGTTATGGGATTAGCAATTACTGAAGTCGTGACAGTGTTTTCATCACTTTATTGAAAGGACATTATACTTTTGAACATTATCTTAACAACCACTAGGTCCTTAATGTTAATTTTCAATCAAATTTTATCGAAAATAAAACCGTGTGGTCTTGTTTAGAATTTAAGAAAGGAAAATAACATTTTATTATCACTTTATTATCTGCATGCGTCCAAAAATCTTTTTTGAATTGTCATTCATCATGAACGCTCGACCCAAAATGTCTGAAGAGAGGCGAAGTATGCCAAAAAGATATTCAAAGTCGAAAACAAACTGACAATAAGCATTGCATAAAATAAAAAACGACGAAAAGACAAAAAAAAGTTCACAAAACACAACATAGAAAAGCATTAAAACAACATGAAACCCACCTAAACCCAAGGATAATCTCCTGTGCTCCGGACGGGACCCTACTCCCCGTGTGGCATCTGTCATGTTGCTTTTGATAGTACAAACCCGGTGATAAGTCTAATTCGGTAGGTCACATTCGAGGAAAAGAGGACGGGATTATGCTTATAACTATTATATATTAAACAGATATTACATAACGTTCAACCAACTCGTCATGCTACCGTTAAATTTTCATAGGGATAATTTCAACTTCACCACTTGGAAATCTTGTTTCAATACCTTCCTTGGAAGCAGCAACCCTTTATCAAGGAAATCATGATGGGAAATGCAAGCTTTGGAATATCGTATCAACTGGGAGATATATTCTACATATGCAGGTGTTGTTGGAATGTTGCTACATAGAAATGGAAAGTTGGAGAGCTAAATTTATCTCTTTTGTCGTAACTTTTGTTCTCAACCGACCCTCCTTGTCAAGAATGAGGCAGACTTAACTGTATCTGTTGTATCCTTTATTTTCAGTTAGATGCTATAGCAGCGTTCACCATGGTCACAAACTTTGAATTACTGAGTGAGAGGGCATCATCTGCTGTCAAAGTACTTTTATTTGTGATTTACCAATGTTCGTGTGTTTCGTGGATAGCTTTATCTACGAATTTAAGTGTCTACCGAAATATAACAGCTGCTTTCCAAATCAAGACATGGAAAGATTCCCATGTAGGTTTGACTACATCGATACGGGTATATTATCTAAAGAATACATCGAATACATCGAATATAAAAAAAAGCACTATGAACTATATGGACAACTTCGGAGAGGATTTTACCCATTTAATTTAAAAAAAAATTAAACTGTACGACTTTTTACATTTTCAATTCTCATGAAAAATTAGTTTTGATCGATGACTTCCGGTGATGATATGCAACGATGAAGTGTTATCTCCTCATAATTCTCACACACAAAAAAAGAATTCATAGTAGTCTTGTTTTTATTTCATTAGAATTAATTATACTATTCAAAGTACTTTTGTAGCAATTTTTTAAGTAACCGGTTTCGTTAAGTGACATGTTTATGGCCCAATTAACACCTTTGATGATCGTTAATCTGTTGATCATTCGATCTCGAGTTTATTAGTGCCATCATTTCTGATTACACGTGTGCAACAATTAAAATGTCTACTTTGCAATTTCCTTCAAACAAGACAATTTGTATCCATAGATGAATCAGTATATCAAGATTTCATGAATGTTGTCAGTAATGAAAGACGAACAAGTAAGTGAGAATGATCACCTTATTTTGCAATGTCCCACAAATCATTATAAAACAACATATATGATAATTTTCAAGAATCTTCGTTTCTGAAGGCTTCAAATTTCATCACTCAATTGATTTTCTCAAGAAAACCAAATAACACGAATTGAAGACCCCACGAACATGTAGCTTTTGTTCAAACCACAAAATTTGATACACAAGAATAAAAGTACTTTCACAGTACATAACGGAACTTGAAGTTAAAGGATACTGATCAGAAGCTATAAGATCAAGAGGGACCTATAGACATTAGCAAAGTTCAACTAAGGTCAACATTACTTTAAGAAAATGGAACCTTAGTTTTAAAGATAATTAATGAATTTATCGTTTGGAATATTTAGAAAATAAAGGCAACATTAGTATACTGCTGTTCAATAGTCATAAATCGATTAAGCGAAAACAAATCCGGGTCACAAACCAAAACCAAAGGAAACACATCAACTATAAGAGGAAAACAACGGAAACACTGAACTGCTACAAAAACAATCGCCAACATACATAGAAATGGACTATTTGATAACAACTGCCATATTCCTGACTATGTACAGGACATTTTAAGAAAAAATGGTGAGTTGAACCTGGTTTTATGTCTAGCCAAAACTCCCGCTTATATGGAAATGTTAAAAATACCGCTAAAATAACAACATTACGTGACAATATTACAGTACAAATAAACGCAAGAACACTCAGGACAGATATATACATAAATAAATAATATAATAGTACATTACAACATTTAAACAACAGAATAACAAGGGACACCGCCTCCCATGAATTTACGACAGTACACCAATACACCACAATAGCATTATGAACTGTGCGTCACACGAACGTATCAACGCCTTAAAACGTGACGTATTTTTTGTGACGTTTATTTTATCACAGGTAAATTTCTGAAAATAGAATATAAAATTGGGATTCAGTTTGTAA